CATTGACAAACATGAAGGTCTCATTGTAAAGAGAAGGCCAAGTTCACGGTATTCGGCTAGATGTCTTGCTGATCTGGAGTATATAGATGATATTTTCCTGGTAAAAAGTTAGGAAACGTGTTCTGATGACTTGCATATGCAAAACAACTGCGAAAACAGCCCTTCAAATCCGCCCGGAAGTGAAATTCCAGCATAGCTCATCTACTAGTGTAACAAGGAGGTGAGACGCTTCAACCTGTCAAATTCAAGTGTCTCGGCTCCGTCGCTGTCAGCGATGGTACCATCCAGCCAGAGTTAAATAGAAGGTCATCGTATCCCCGAGTTCATTTGAAACACGTCAATGATTTTGGCTGACAAGAGTTATCTGTTTCTAGAACAATTCGTATGCACCTTGCCTCGGTTAGGTGAGCGCTGTAATATGGCATGCAAGCGAATGTTCTAACGAACGAACGAGAACCTCAGCTGAGCCGTGTACAGCAGCCCAATGAAGGTTAAATGACACGACAAGGTAAGCAACAACTGTAATTGGCCAAGTAGGCAACTACAGTAACGGGGTAAGTGCAATATGCCATAGATGTTGGTCTTGGATCAGTCATGCCAACATAAATCTATTCAAATGCAGGAAAACAAATTGACGCTCCTGCGACAACCTATAAAAAATGTGCATTTCCTAAAACATTATTCGTGACGAGCACAGAACTACTCTAGCTAAAAAATGAAGTGACTGCCGTGCTGAAATACACTAGCATAAAGGCCGATTTAAATAGCTCTTCCATGCAACTACATGCTGGCGAACGAAGTTACAATACGAAATATGATCATGAATGAGTTATGCGCGTATGACATAATCTGACAATCGGTTTTTCGATGACCAAAAATTCACAAGTTTTTGTGACTTCGTCGAAACTCATCATCAAGAGGATATGGAGCTAGCGAACAAACGTAATTAACAAAACAGTAACTTACTTTCGATCATTACCTATTCGATCAAAAAAGCCGACGTTATTCACTCCGTTTGTGGAAGGCGTCCAACGGCCATAGGCAACCTGTTTGGACAAAGCGGCGAGGTGTACGCGTTGGTCGTACGACGGGTGGCACAGCTTGCCATCGTTTTCTAAAGCAGTTCACGAATTTACGAGGTGAAGTAAAAAGTCAGCCGTACCGAACTGCTGCCATACCTTTGAAGAACTTTAACGCTTGTAGATATATTTTGCGAAGGCTGACGTTGTCCAGCATTTGCAATGCCGAATCGGAAGCGGAGTCCTGAGGAAACGACATATCTGCGGAAGGCGCAGCCGCCGAATTCATGGCACTTTAGAAGATCACACCTAAAGCTGATACATGACTCATCTGAAGGCAGAAACAATGAGTAGTCAATCGCGTCCAAAGTTGCAGTTCATTTCCATTCTACGTGATACAGAAGAAGAAACAGGACTACCCGTAATAAAAAGAAAACGGGTATAGGCAAACAAAAAGTATGCGTGAAAAGAAAGAGGAAATGGTGAGAACGAGATACAACGTTGATTACAAAACCAATATAAGCAAAAACAGAAAATGAAGAATAAAAATGCGAGATTCAAAGAAGATATTACAGCATGATAAAGATGAATGTAAATCGACAACGGAGCGGGCATGAAGCCATCGAGAAAAAATAAAAGAGACACGCAGAAAGGAATACGGAATGACGGAATGGAATAGAAAAAATCACTACTAAATTGGGAAAATAAATTAATGCAAATGACGGAAAGAAAATAAATGAATCTGAAAGTTACGGGATCAAAAATGATTTACTGAATGATGCAAGAAGCAGAACTGGGGAATAATTGAAAAAATGAATAAAAAACATTGGTATAGCAATTCGTTCGTGCGTTGATGGTTATACTAAAAAATTAGCGTAAAACACAGTTAACTTATAGACAACACAAAAGATACTATGGTCATTCTTGCGACTGATCAATACTGACGCTCCGGTCCATGTCTCAGGGGTCTTCATCAGAGTAGATTGGTGGCGAATTTTTGTGAATGTGGTTGGCCGTTTGCAAGAGTAAAGAAGGGAAGCTCTTAATTTCTGCTGCTAGCAAAATAGTTTTGGGCAATAAGAACGAACGAACAATAGGTCACAATATATATATATATATATATATATGTGTGTGTGTGTGT